TCCGGGTAGCAGCAGACCTTGGCATCATCCACGTGGAACTGGTTTTAGGTGCATACAGAACGCAGGAGTTCTGAGGTTAAAGAGGCTTCCACCCAGATTTCAGAAGGCCTGGGAGGCCAGGCAGTGTGCCCCTGAGAGGGCAGTGTGTGAAGCTGTGAGTGTGAAGCAAAAGGTACACTGGAGACCTCAGAAGTCTGGAAAGCTAGAGATATGGGATTGTCTAAGGAAAGCTGCAGGGAGAGAGCAAAGCAGGCCAAAGAGAGAAGCCGTGGGAGCTGTAACCACCAGAAGTGCCATAGGGGTGGATTCTCACAAGCCCTTTTGAGTTCACAATGTGCCACAAGTTGCTTCAGATGCTGGATGTGGAATTACAGGACATAATGTTAGCCCGGCTGGATTTTGGACTTGCTTTGGTCCCAGTGCTCTGTATCCCCATTTGTAACTTTTGGAATGAAAATGTTTATTTTGTGCCATTGAATGTTGGAAGTGTTTAACTTTTTATTTGTACAGGGGCTTGCAACTAAGACACATGGGGTCCAGGCCCTTGGCTAGATTCTTTGGTCTTTAGTGTGTGGACATTTTTGCTGCACTTTTTTTGTACATGATTTTTTGGGTTACTATTATAAATAATCTTACAAAATATGTGCCCTGTATTATATTATTCTCCTTACAAAACCCCAAACCACAACAGAAGAAGACAGATGCATGAAGATCAAAGGCATCCAGAGTTCCTTCCTTTGGAGACTGCTATGACAGTTGACATGAAAGCTGTGAAGGTCACTCACATATTCTGGTGAGGTACTAAGGGCTAGAGGGAAGGGGATTATAAAGTTGAGCTGGAGGGGCTGGGCATTTAGCTCAGCGGCACAGAGCCTGCCTGGCAAGCACGAGGTTGTGAGTTTGATTCCTGGTACCAGAAAAAAACCAAAACAAACAAAAACAAGTTGAGCTACACATTTAGGTAAGAGCCAAACATAGGCTTAGATACACCATAAAGAGGGTCTTTTACTTAGCAGATGAGAGGGACATTAAAACTGGGGAGTGACACAATCATTTTAGCATGTTAGAGAAACTGTTCTGATATTTTAGATAATGGACCAAAGCTTGGGAAAAATTGAGGCCAAACGACTAGTCAAGAGTCTATAGCAGGGCCAGGGATGTAGCTCAGTGGCATAAGCGCTTGCTTGGCAAGCCTGAGGTCATGAGTTCAATTCCCAGGACCAAAAAAGAAATAGTCTACAGCAAAGAAAAAAGTATTTAAAAGTATAGCATAATATATCAAGATAAAAAGTTGCACACATACTACCATCTTATAACATTATTGTAATAATTTTTTCAACATTATAATAATTTAAGTGAAAGCATAGCTATAATCCTAGCATTCTAGGAGGCTGAGAAAGGAGAAGTCAAGCTCAAGACGTGCCTGGGAAACACAGCAAGACCTTGTTTCAAAATTTAAAATTTTTCACACCTGTAATCCCAGCACTCAAGAAGCTGAGGCAGGAGGATCTTTGCAAGTTTGAGGCCAGCCTGGGCTACGAAGTGAGGTCAAGGCCAGCCTGAACTGCATAGCGAGACCCTGTCTCAAAAGACCAAAAAAAAAAAGAAAAAGAAAAGAAAAAATTACAAAGGGCTGGGGATGTAGCTAAATGTTGAAGGCCCTAGGTTCAAGCCCCAGTGCTCTCTGCCAAAAGCAATTTAAGTTGGGAAGGTGAACTACCCCATAGTCAGAGGGGACAGAGGGATCCACTGAGATACTTAGGAAGTAGAGGCTGAAAGGTTTGGCACATGCTCACGTGTGGAGGGTGAGATGAGAGTTGAGGCTTCTCATGTGGTGATGGGGGTGCGTGCTCGGGATGAGCTGAATTCAAACTGAAAATAAGGGCATGGGAGTGGATTTACAGACAGAAAGAATGAGTCCGACTTTGAACATGTTGAAGTTGGGATGCCAGTGGGACAGCCAGCAGGAGGCAGCAAGGTGTATGAAGGCAGATCCCACTATGGACGAGGAACATTAGAAGAGGAATAATAAGCACAAATGTTACAGCACAGCCCAGAGATAAAACCACCCAAAAGGACTATGCCGAGGGAGCAGGAAGCAAAGCAAAAGACAGAAGCTGGGGCTGGGGTGTCACATCCCAAACTTCATGCCTGTTATCATCCAGGCAGGAACACAAAACCATTCTAGGTGCTCATAACTAAATTTAGCATCTAGAATTGGTTGCAACTGTGCAGAATGGACAAGAAGTGCAAAAGGGAGGAGGCTTGGTGAAGCACAAGTAGGAAAGATGGATGTCTGGGAATTCCACCCCAGCTGGAATTCATAAACCCACATCTGCAGCTGCCCTGTGGGAGACACTGTCATGCTCAGATGTGATCTGAAGAACTGCCATCATGTCTAGTCATTGAGAAAGAACTTCTGCCCGGAAGACTAGAATCCAGATTCACTCATTCTTCCTGTTGCTACATTCACCAGCAATTGCCACAACTGCTACCCTGCCGGAGAAAGAAGCAAGCTTCTGGTTTTCTCCTGCCTTCTGATCCCCCACCAGTGCCCTCCTACTGGCAGACGCTAACCGGAAGCCAGCTGGCCAAGAAGACTGGGTGATACACCCCAGCTGACTGCTAGTGCGGAGTACAGGAGGGCGGGTGTGGACGGAGACAGCAGAGAACGACCAGCACCCTGGAAGGCACGGGCGGCACCAGGAGCACACAGAGAACTAAGAGAACCAGGAGGAAGTGGATCAGAGGAACAGAGGTGGCCCATGAAGGACAGCAAGGCCAGTGATGTTGAGCGCCACTCAGAGGTCATGGACTAAAAAGAGTCCTGAGATTTGGTAATTATGGGATGGCTGACAAATTTATTGAGAGCAATTTCAGTGTTGTAGTGGGAGGCGACTCCAGATTGCAGTGGGCTGAGAAGGAAGTGGGAGGTGAGGAAGAAACTGCCAGTGTCTGTGCTTCAAGTTTGATAGAGAAGAGAGACAGAAGGGGTGGGGGAGGGGTGCTGAGACCGCTCCAGCGTGGCAACCAAGTAATCTAAGAAATTAATCTGTGAACGTGCTGCGTCAGTGTCCTGAGCCTTTCAAAACCCATACCCTTTGAATAAATAAAGACCCAAAATAAAAATAAAAACAACTCCCATGCCCTCCTGGATACTCTGGGAACAGCAACTGGTACACACGAACGTGTCTAGGTGGTGTGGGGATGGGGTGTCAGGGAAGGGGTAGGGATTGGAGATCAGCGGAACCCCCCAAAGAGCAAAAGAACATTTTCCTAACATCCCAGTCTTTCGGACTAACCCATCAGCGGTTCTGGCAGTGGGGAGATCCAGGCCCACAGAGCCATAGAAGGATGACACCACAGGACTACAGAGACATGTGACACGCAGCTACCTGGGGTTCTAGACCAGGTGGGCAAGCTTTTTCGGCACAGGGCCAGAGAGCAAGTATCTCAGGCTTGAGGGTTACAAGCTCTGCCCTGAGTGCTCAGTCGTGGCAGGAAAACGGCTGTAGGCAAAGTGGAAACGCAAGAGCAGGCCCTGTTCCTACTCCCGCCTGCCTTCCTCCCACGTCTCCAGCATCTCCCGCTCCATCTCCTTCGTGGACCCTTCTTTCAGCTGCTCTGTAAACACTGGTGTTCCCTGGGCTCCAGACTCAGCCCTCTTTCTGTACGGACTGACATTTGAATTTCACATATCTGTATGTCATAGAACAATCCTTTTTTTTTTTTTTCTCCCAACCATTTAAAAATGTAAAACCATTCTTAGCACTTAAGCCATATGAAGAGAGGCAGTGGGCTGGATTCTACTCACAGGCCCATACTTTGCTGAGAGCTCTTCTCGGTGTGGTCACAAGTGGGATGGAAACCCAAAATAAACCCACTTTTCAAGAGCCTCATTCCCCTTTACTCATGGCAACAGCAATGGGTTAATGATCAGTGTGTTCTGGTGCCCTGTTATTTGGAAGATTTGGGAAGAACAGAAGGGGGCTGGTGGGACGATTCAGGAACAGGTACAAAGACACTCTGGATAGGGAGCATGAGGGGGAGGGGTCAGTCCTCCAGAGAGCAGGGGGTAAGAAGGCAAAATGAGAAGTGTAATCACCCATCACCAAGACCACGGCCAGGGAGATTAACTCCTTTCGCCTCCTTCTGTAATCCCAGTATGACTTGTGACAAGCTCTAAAACTTATAGCTTTGCTTCCCTCTGTGTAACCCTTCTTCCTTCCGGGACTTCCCAACAGGCCCATCAAAGGTGTCTCAGAAGCAGTCCTTTAGCAGTTTGGGAAATAACAGTAGTGGGCAAGAGCAGTGCAGCCAGTTCCCATTGTCTATTTTGTCATTAAATATAAATGCCTCAGGGGAGTGAATGAGAAAAATAAACAGCTTGAAACTCCCCAAAAATATGAAACTAGGAGAGCGCTTACGATGGAGGGGTGCTGAACAAAATATATTGTGTGCATGTATCACTCTGTCAAAACGAAATGCATTCATCTGTGTAACCAATTAAAAAAAATTAATGTCTCTGACAATGGCACAGCATGTGCTAGGTAAGCACTTTATCACCGAGTTATACTCCAGCCCTAAGAATATATGCAAAGATTTGAAGACATCAGCTTAACCAGCAACTTACAGCTTGCTTCCTTCCTTCCTTTCTAGCAGTGGAGCTTGAACCCAGAGCCTGCCAGCTTCTGAGGTGCATCCCAGCCCGAGGCCATGGCTTCCCAAGGCTCAGCTCTCCCAATCCTTCCTAGCCCCTTTCTCCCTTCCCCACCTTTTGCCCTTTGCTGTCAGAGCCAGGTTTCTTTAGTTGTGAGTAACTGTGTCCCCACTTTCACACCTGTCAATGAGTCCTTCAACCTCAATGAAATTATTCACCAGTGTTGTTTCTGAATCTGATGGATTCCCTGCAGTCTCCGCAACACTGGACACCACTGGCCATGCCCTCTCTCCTAAATTGGTCTATTTTTTTTTTTTTTTTTTTTGCATTTTTCGATGGAACTCTCTCCTACTTTTTCCTTCTACTTCTCTGACGTCCCCTTTTCAGTCTCTGTGGATTCTTCTCCTTCAGCTACCTTCAAGTATCGGGGTCCCTAGAGTTCTATCCACAACCTTTACCCTTCTTACATGACATAATCGCCACAGGTTTCCCGTTCACTTCCATCCGCCTTCAGTTACTGCCAACTTGCTGCTGTCGTCACACTCACCTCTGCAGCTCTGGTCTTGCTGAGTCCCACACTATCCATCTACCCAACTTGCATCAGTCACCTCCACTCAGGTGTTATACAACAGAGTACTTCCAGCGGTAGTCTCCACAGATAATAGTATTCCTTAAGAACTAAAAATATGTCAGTTGGATAGTAGTAACTTTTATTTCAAAGTTTATTTCAACATAGACATAATAAAAAACAAGTATTAGCCAGGATGGTGATACATGCCTATAATCCCAGTAATCTGGAAGGCGGAGCCAGGAGGATCACAAGCTTGAGTCCAGCCTGGGCTACTTAGTGATACACTGTCTCAAAACAGAAAATAGAAAGGGCTGAAGAAGTAGCTCAATATGAAAGCCCTGGGTCCAACCGCCAGTACCATCAAAACACACACAAACACACACATGTACACATGTACACATGTACATACGCATTCAGGGGCAAAGGCCTCCAGGCTGTCTTTGAAATTACACATTGTTGAGAGAGACAATTTTAACTGAGGTGAACACCACTGGACTCTTTAGCTGTGACCAGTTATCAATCACCTCCAGGCATTAGAGCTATTTCTAGAGAAGGGATAAATACCATGAGTGAAGCAACTATCTCAATACAGCTATCTTCAACATATGGCAACTAAGACAGTCACATGAGATCATCTGAGGTACACACAAGAGGTTAGATGTATGCATTACTGCTCAGATCACATTTCCCAACTAACTGCTCAGGTGATATATGTGACCTACTTAGTGATCTCTCATCTGTGACATGACGACCACATATTGAAATTACATTTAGCATAGGATTCAATGTTGATTTATGAATCTAAAAGTTTATATTCTGGCTGGGCATGGTGACGCATGCCTGTAGTCCCAGGACTTGGGAGGCTCAGGCATGAGGAACACCTTGAATTCAAGGCCAGCTTGGGCTACATAGTGAGTTCAAGGCCAGTGAGACCCTGTCTAAAAAAGCAAAGGAAAACAAAACACCAAGAAATTTATATTTTGCTAATTTCCTTTGGATCTACAACTAGAGCATATCTGTAATAGCTATACTAGATGGCCTTTCTTTTAACATGATACCATCACTCCAATCAAAAAATTAAAAGCAATTGTTCATCTTCATTTAACCTAATTTGTGTTCATTTCCCTCAATTATCTCAGAATGTCTGAGAAGAAAGTTTCAAATGAAAGAGTTTTCAAACTATGCCTTTGGCTTGAAAAAGTGAGTGTTCCACTTTATGTCTCATAAACCACTGTTAACAATTCAGTAATGAATTCTAATTAAGCATTCCATAGGCAAATAAATTTAGGAATTGCTATGTACCTCTAGTTCAAGATTTACAAAACTAATTCATCATCTTCCCTTCCCAACACCCTCCAACTCCTGAAGTTAAGACTTCAGTAATTGAGCTACAGATGTGAGCTCATAGCTTCCATCCCTCATAGCTCCACCTTCCTCAAACCTTCCCATCCAATTACTCACCAAATTCTATCAACTCTACTTTAATACTGTTTCTCTTCAATCTGTCTGTCCCTTCCACTTCCATTTTTTCCTGTATTATTGCATGTTTCTTATAACTGGTCTGTTTCCAATTGTATGATTTTCCACAGTGCTGCCAGAGGGAATTATTGTTATTTCTTTTTGTTTCTGTTTGGAGACAGGGACTATGTTGTTCACTCTGGCCTCACATTTGTGATCTTCCTACTTCAGTCTCCTGAGTAGCTGGAAGTACAGGCACATATCACCGCACCCTATTCAGGAGGATCTTTTTATTATGCATATTTGACCATATTACACTTTTGCAAAAAACCTTCAATTATTTTTCATAATGTGCTCTCCTTAGCATTACCTTTCGTGATCTGGATCCTACTTACCTACTCCTTCATGTCCTTTAAAAATCTTGCCTCCTTCAGACAGCAGTCTTGAAAGCCAGAGCTGAGATGAGTAGCCTTTTCAGCGTATTTCCACAGCACCCTGTACCCACCATTATCATTTTTACTGTATATTCTCTTCTATTTTTATGCCCACTTCATAGTCATCTCATCTCTATTGCAAGGTCCCTAAGAGAGAGTGTCCTTTTTTAATATTCCTAGTGCAGACTAAGAGTGCCCACTATATTAGACTTTCATTACTATAACAAAATACTAGAGGCAGGCTAACTTTGTAAAAATAAGAGGTTTATTTAACTCATAGTTTGGGAGGCCGAAAGTCCAAACAGCATGGCACATGTGGGCTCTGGCAAGGATCCCCCTTGGCTGCATGACTTCATAGCAGGTAGTCTTATTGGTAGAGTTTTGAGGTGGCACATGACACCACATGACAAGAGATAGGGAAGATATATGTCTGTGTCTCTTCTGGGTCTCTCTCCCTTTTTTTTTTTCTTTTGGTCTTTCTGAAACAGGGTTTCTATGAAGTTCAGGCTGGCCTTGAACTCACTTTGTAGCCCATGCCTCAAACTCACTGCAATCCTCATGCCTCAGCCTCCTGAATGCTGGGATTACAGGCATGTGCCACCATGCCTAGCTCTCTCCCTTTTAAAACCACCAGGATTCAATCATGAAGCTCTACCCTAATGACCTTATTCAATCCCAATCACTTCCTAAAGACCCCATCTCAAAACACCGTAACTGCATTACATTTCCACCCTCTTAATCCCATTACCATATGACTCTGGGATTAAACTTTAGCCTGAATTCAGAGGAACAAACCATATTTAAACCAGAACACCCACCAACAAGTGACTACCCATTTGATGAGCAAATAGGCTGCAGTCATTAAAGGTGCTGAAGCTGAGAATGAAAGAGGCGTCAGGTCTTAGTGATGGGTCATCCCTTCTTACACAGGTGCTTCAACAGTAAATCTTAACAGGCACGTCTGTGCCACTGCACTGCCACTGCTTTCACTATGCCTGCACCACTCCTCCCATCCACTGTAGGTCCTTCCCACGATCCCTGTCCCCACCACTTCCCTCTCACCCTCTGCCACCTCCCACTTTGGAAAGCAAAGTTGGCCACCAAGTCCCATGTTTACTTTCATTCCAAGCTGTTTTCTCTCTGTAACCACATCCACCCATCCCTTTTAGCCACTTCATTACAACTACTCTGATGGGTTAGGATTGTTATCCTCACTATATAAACCAGGAAACTATCACTCAAAGAGTTTCATTCATTCATTTATTTACCATACATTTATTTGTTGCATTCTATGTGTCTGGCTATATGCTAAACATCTGACACTTACCATCGTCCAATGGATAGTCCAACAAAAACAGAGCTATGAAACAAGTGAACATACAAATTTACAACAATATATATTATAAAGTAGCTGAGATTTACAAGAAAGACTGACTGGCATAGGAAACGCCCACCTCCATGGGATGAGATCCGCAGGGTGAGTAGATACAGCCAGATACAGAGCAGGAAGCTGAGTGTCCTGGCAGAGGAACAGCATATGTGAGGCCAAGGCAGGCAATGGACTGGCTCCTTTAAGGAAGTGAAGACCCATGTGGCTGAAACACAATTAGTGGTTAAGAAGGGACAGCAGATGAGGGAGGCCAAAGGCAGGCAGAAGCAAGGAGCCATAAGACCTTGTGGATCATGTGAGAAATGTGGGTGCGCTTCTAAGTGCAATTAAACGCTGCAATGACTTTATTCCTGCTCATCTCATGTGTGATTAGTTTCCTAATTCACCTACCTTCAAGTTTCTTAAAGCCACTCCATAGTTACCAAATGAATCAACCTTACAAATAAACTTTCATATAGACCTATCTTTCCATAAAGGTAGCTCTCATTTCCCCTATTAAAACAAAACTTAACTCTAGCCTTTCTACTATGCTCAGTCTGAATTACTTAGCCTCACTTTTGGGATCTTCAATTGTCGATTCTATACCAACTACAGAAACTGCCCTTTAACACCAATAATGACCCTAATTATCAACTATCTTCATCTGTCTCCCATTGCTGTCTCTAAATACTTCCAGTCTGGCTAATATAAACCGAAGAGGTTTATTTAGCTCACAGTTGTGGAAGCTGGGATGTCCATAAGCACAGCACTGGCATCTGTTCAGTATCTGTCGAGGACCATCCCGGTGAGATCATGCATGTGGGAGACCTCATGGTGAAACCACGTAGAGAGACCCCGCAAGCTGGCTAGAGAGCTTGCTTCCACAACAATGTGCTCCCTTGATGATCTGTCAGTCAGTTAATCCAGGAATTAATCCATTCCTGAAGGCAGAGCCTTCACGGCCCACCCCTAATGTCTCCTGATGAGGATTCAACTTCAACAAGAGCTTTGGTGGGAGAACTTCAAATTGCAGCACCAACCCAATACGTTTTCCCTTCTTCTTTCCCTTGCATATACCTACAGTCTCACTTCCTTAATCAGAACAGGGGTTTCTAACTTGCCACAGAATTCAGAGATCCATAAACTTGGGTGGGATTATAAAAAGTCAACTTTGTTTTCAATAAACTGTAACTGAAATTTGATTTTATGAGTGCATGTAGAAGAAAATCTGTAGTACTAGCCCTGTCTGTAACTTCGTTAATAAAAATACCACTATCAACGAATATTTTCTTATCACATTATAGGTAGTATAGACATCTTAAAATAGCCCCACTTTATAATTCTGGGAGGTGTTAAGCCTACTAATAAATCACATTATTTTATACATTGGTAAAGAAACACATACTACTAGATCATGTTTCTCTAAATAATTTGATAATTATATTTTAAATCTTATCACCTTATGGATACATTCACAAATATGTAAGGTCTAAGGACTTCCCCAAACTGCCAAAAAAGTCCATGACACAAAAAAGCTCATCTATTCAATAAACACACAACATTCACTCAAACCATCTCTTGTTCGGGCTTCTTTATATCATGTTGCTGTTTCCCATCCTGGTTTGAAGCTCTTTCATAGGTTCTACTTCCTCTCTTTGTTTCCTATCCTTGCTCCCACAGCCCAATCTTCAACCCTACACTAAATTGTTTCTCTTTTTATTTATGTTTTGGGGGGTTTTCTGAGACAGGGTCTGTGTAGTGCAGGCTGGCCTCTAACTCAGGGTGATTCTCCTGCCTTAGCCTCCCAAGTACTGAGATTACAGGATGGCACCATCAGTCCTGGCTCTAAATTCTGGGGTTTTTTGTTTGGTTTTGGTATCAGGAATCGAACTCACGACCCTGGGCTTGCCAGGCAAGCACTTCAAATTATGTCTTAAACATCCTTCTCTTATAAATCTTATTTACCTATAAAGCTGATTCAAACATCACCTCCAAGATAACTCTTCTTCTCCAACTTCAATCTTGGATCTGATACTCCCTGCCACACCTTGTAGCTTTGATAACACACTATTCAGAGGCAGACTGGATTCAAATCCAGCCTCCTACTTACCAAAAGTGTGACTGTAGAGCTGGGTGTGGTGGTGCACACACCTGTAACCCCAGCACTTGGGAGGCCGAAGTGGGAGGATCTCCCTGAGGCCAGCCTAGGCTACATAGTGAGCTCAAGGCCAGCATGAATTACAGAGTGAGACTGTCTCAAAATACCAAAACAAAAAACCAAAAGTTTGATCTTGGGTGAATGATTTAATCTTTTACTTCAGTTGCCTCATTTGAAAAATGTGGGTGATACTAATTATATTGACTTGTAAGGACTAGAAGACATAACATGTACTGGACAAGTCCCTTACAACACTGCCTGACACATGTTGAGCACCCACTAGAGATACTAGCTATTACCAAAGGCATCTCTTTTCAATCCCTGATAATTTTATTTCATGTTTATTAATAACATCCATTGCTAGCCACTGGGAGAGAGCTCCTAATGATATAATTCTGATGAAGTCACTGCTCCAAAACTGTCAGTGGCTCCCCACTGGGTCCACACTTAATAGCACTAGAAACTCAAAAATATGACCTTCACAAATAAATTTACCTTCTGATTTTCTTTTCCTGCTCTTTGTTTTTTTAAATTTTCTATCCCACTTTACTTATAGCTTTGATTATGGCCAGCCTGAACTGTACTGCTCTGTAAGAATATTTCTGCTGTTCTGCTTGTCTTTCCTCGCACCAATTTGTATATCTGAAGGCAATGCTTTTGTTTATGACTATTCCCCAATACTATGAACAGTACCCCACAGTACATATACATTGCAATTTTATCCAACTCACTCATCTAAGCATCAATCCCCTTTAATATCTGCTCAATTTGTTGGCTAGGTACTGTGTCAGGACCTGTGAGTATTTAAAAAAAAACCTCAACACAGCCATGCTCTCAAGATCAAAATCTAGTAGTTAAGAGAAACATGCAGTTACATAAATGGTATTGACTGTAAAAGGTAATCATAAAAGGAACAGCACCAAGGACTAAGCAGTCAGCTCAATTTGGGCAGCAAGAGTACGCTTTTCTGAGAATGTGGTATTTGGGTTTAGATAAATGAAAGAAAAGCCCATTCCACACAGAGGGAACACATGTGTAAAACCCAGATGTGTGTAGTAAAATGGCATGTCTGGGACACAGTTTAATATGGCTGGAGTACAAAGGCCCAAGAGGAAAGGACATGAGGTGGGTGAGGTACGCAGCTTTTTCTGGCACGCACAAGAATTTGGATTTTACCATGAAGGTAATAGGAATTAACATAGGGTTCACACAATAATACATGGCCAGGGCTGTATTTTGGAAAGCTCACTGCTGACAGTATTATGACAGAGGCAGAAAAGAGAACCTGGAGTAACACTGTCCAAAAGTCTTTTTGTGCAGTGACGGAACTGCTCTATAATCTGCTATTCCAGGACAGCTACTAGCCATTTGTGGCTATGGAGAACGTGAAACCTGGTTAGTGCACTAAGGAACATTTGAAATTGTATTTAAATTCAAGCTGGGCGTGGTGACACATGCCTGTAATCCCAGCCCTCAGGAGCCTGAGGCAGGAAGACTGCCACAACTTCCAGGCCAGCCTGGGCTACATAGTGCGTTCAGGCTCAGCCTGCACTATACAGTAAGACCGTCTTCAAAAAAAAAAAGCATTTAAATTCAAATAACCACACACCTACTGTATTGCATAGTGTAGCTCAAGAGGTAAGGAAATTTCCTAGGAAATGTAAACACAGCCTAGGTGATAGGACTAGGACATGAACGTGACTCAATGGATACTTAAAAGGCCAAACAGTAAGAGTCTGGTGGTCGTAAAGTTATGAGAGGGGAAAAAAACAAGGGGCTCCCAGACTCTAGGCTTTGTGACTGAGTAGCTGCCACCACACACGGAAATAGAAGGAACAAGTTTAGAGCACACATAGACTGCATCAATTCCGAACACGTTAGTGTGAGGGTATCCAAGTAGCAACATTTATAGGAAATTTACGGCAAGCTTGCTGTCTGAACTAAAAATACAAGTGTGATACTACCTAGAGATGCCCGAAGTAGAAGAAAGCAGGTATAATCTGGCAAACATCAACATGTGGGAAGGGGCTAAGAGAGTTGAGAAAGGAGACCGGGGAGAACAGACAAGTAGGAAAAGAAACTGGTGAGACTGGTCACAGAAGTCAAGGGTACAGAGAATGTCAGGAAGGAAGCAAGATCAAGTGTCAAATGCTCCAGCGGTCAAATGAGGTGAGAACTGCAAAGCACTTTCCGACTTTTCCTATTAAGAGGTCCTTGAGCGTGACATGTGTCTGAAGAGTACTGCTGGTGGGAGCCTGATAGATGAAAGAGGGTTAAAGGGGGAGGGATGGGGAGAGGGAGGAAGAGAAGGGGGGAAGTCTAGGAAGAGGAAGATGGAGAGAAAATTAAGAGCGTAAAGTATAATTTTTACAAGTCCTGCGTATCTGCCTATGCAAGGGACCAGAAAGATAAACGAGTCTCCTGGGAGAGGGAGATAGTGAAAAGGTGTTTTTCTTATTTTTCCTTTTTCTGGTTAGGAAAGCTTAAAATTCCAAAGGGTGGAGATGGAGGGTAGCCTCAGGGTAACATAGCAAGTTAACCGGGTCAAAAGTAAAGGGATTTTCTTAACCGAACAGAGCAACCCCTAATGAAAGGGATACAGACGTGGCCCAGTTTGCAGTGGGTGACTGCCGGCAGCTCCGAGCTGGTTCCGAGGAGCCCCGTAGGCGGGGAGTGGGTACTAAGAGGCTGGGAGTGGGGGATGAAGGGAGAGGTAATGGGCTAGGGACGAATTTTTACGTTACCAATCCCTGAATTTTTATGAGATTGATTCAAGACAGAGAGCAGGAAGCCAAGCTTTCAGAGCAGGAAGAATTTTAACCTAAAGGACCACTGTGTAGCAGTCACCAGCGGACCGAAGGCAGACAATTTCAACAACTCGGAGGCCTCTAAGAAATCCAGGGTGCCCTCAGGGACACGGAAAGTCGTAAAGTCAAGGCCCCCACAGAACGCCCACGCCAGGGCGCGCGCCTCGGCCGGCCGCAGGAACCAGGGCGGCGGACTCTCCCGGGCCGAGCCGCAGCACACCGAGGCGGCCGCACCCTGCAGGCCCTCCCAGCTCCCGCGCCGCGC